ATTTTGAGAATTTCCATCTTTATAATACTGAATCTTCCAACCTATAAATATGATACAGACATCCGTTATTTTGGTCTTCCTTAATTCCTCTTGATGTTATGATTTCCTGTGCAAAAATTCTGCATGTATTCTGTATACGCATGTATACTTATTCCTACATATTTCATGCTGCTTGATACCAATGTAAATAAGTTTTAAATTTTCATTTTGTTTTCTGCCGATACATAAGAAATACACTTGACCTTTTTACATATTGACCCCATCCAGCAACTTTGTTAAGCTCTCATCTATCTGATTCCTTTGGATTTTCTATATATGCAATCACGTCATCTGTGTATGACAGTTTTATTATTTTTCTTTTTTTAACTTAAAGCAAAAATTTCTCTAATATTTTTTAATTGAGGTATAGTCAGTTATAATGTGTCAATTTCTGTCATACAGCATCATGTCCCAGTCATGCATATACATACATATATTCGTTTTCATATTTTTCCTTTAAAAGTTTATTACAAGATACTGAATATAGTTCCCTATGCTATACAGAAATTTGTTTTTTAATTTATTTTTATATATAGTGGCTAACATATGCAAATCTCAAACTCCCAAATTTATCCCTTCCCACTGCCCTTCTCCCAGTAACCAGAAAATTTTTTACAATGTCTTTCAGTCTGTTTCTGTTTTGTAGGAGTTCATTGATGTCCTCTTTTTTCTTTTCTCCAGATTCCACATATGAGTGATACCATATGGTATTTTTCTCTTTCTGGCTTACTTCACTTAGAATGGCATTCTCCAGGTCCATCCATGTTGCTGCAGATGGCATTATTTTACTTTTTTATCACTGAGTAGTATTCCATTGTATAAATGTACCACACCTCCTTTATCCAGTCATCTGTGGATGGACGTTTGTTTCCATGTCTTGGATGTTGTATATAGTGCTGCTGTGAACATTGGGGTGCATGTATCTTTTTGAATTAGAGTTCCCTCCAGAGCTATGCCTAGGAGTGGGATTGCTGGATCATATGGTAAGTCTATTTTTAGTTTTTTGGGGAATTTCCACACTGTTTTCCATAATGACTGCACCAAACTACATTCCCACCAGTGGTGTAGGAGGGTTCCCCTTTCTCTACAGCCTCTCCAGAATTTATCGTTCATGGACTGTTGAATGGTGGCCATTCTGACTGGTGTGAGGTGATAACCTCATTGTATTTTGATTTGCATTTCTCTGACAATTAGCGATACTGAGCATTTTTTCATGTGCCTGTTGGCCATTTGTATAAGACGTCTTCACTGGAGAATTGCTTGTTTAGGTCTTCTGCCCATTTTTGGATTGAGGTTTTTTTTTGTTGTTGTTGTTATTAAGTTGTATGAGCTGTTTATATATTCTGGAAATTAAACCTTTGTCAGTCGCATCATTTGCAGATATTTTCTCCCCTTCCATAGGTTGTCGTTTTGTTTTACTTACAATTTCCTTTGCTGTGAAAAGCTTGTAAGTTTCATTAGGTCCCATTTGTTTATTTTTGCTTCTATTTCTATTCCCTGGGTAGACTGGCCTAGGAGAGCATTGCTAAGATTTATGTCAGAGAATATTTTGCCTGTTTTCTTCTAGGAGGTTTATCGTTTCTTGTCTTATATTTAAGCCTTTAAGCCATTTTGAGTTTATTTTTGTGTATGATGTGAGGGAGTGTTCTAACTTCATTGATTTACATGCTGCTGTCCAGTTTTTCCAACACCATTTGCTGAAGAGACTGTCTTTTCTCCATTGTATATTCTTGCTTCTTTTGTTAAAGATTAACCATAGGTCTGTGGGTTTATTTCTGAGTTCTATTCTGTTCCATTGATCCATGTCTGTTTTTATGCCAATAACATGCTGTTTTGATTACTGTAGCTCTGTAGTTCTGCCTGAAGTCTGAGAGGGTTATTCCTCCACCTTCATTCTTTTTCTTCTGTATTGCTCTGGCAGTTCTGGGTCTTTTGTGATTCCATATGAATTTTAGGATTGTTCTAGTTCTGTGAAAAATGTTCTGGGCAATATGATAGGGATCACATTAAATCTGTAGATTGGTTTGGGCAGTATGGCCATTTTAACAATATTGATTCTTCCAATCCAAGAGCATGGCATATCTTTCCATTTCTTAAGGTCATCTTTAATTTCTTTAATCAATGTTTTGTAGTTCTCCATGTATAAAAGACTTTCACCTCCTTGGTCAGATGTATTTCTAAGTATTTTATTGTTTTGGATGCAATTTTAAAAGGGTTTGTTTATTTTTCCTGCTGTTTCATTGTTAGTATAAAGAAATGCAACTGATTTCTGTATGTTAATCTTGTATCCTGCAACCTTGCTAAATTCTTTTATCAGCTCTAGTAGTTTTTGTATGGAGCTTTTAGGGTTTTCTGTATATACTATCATGTCATCCACATATAGTGACAATTTTACCTGTTCTCTTCCAGTTTGGATCCCCTTTCTCTTTCTTGCCTAACTGCTGTGGCTAGGACTTCCAAGACTATGTTGAATAGAAATGTTGAGTGGGCACCCTTGTCTTGTTCCAGATTTTAGTGGGAAGGCTTTTAGTTTTTCACCATTGAGTATTATTCTGGCTGTGGGTTTGTCATAAATAGCTTTTATTACACTGGGGTATGTTCCCTCTATACCTACCTGATATATATTGGTCCTTTTATTTTGTGAAATGTCCCTCTCAATCTCTGGAATTCTTGTCTTGAAGACTATTTTATCTAATATTGATACATGTACTCCAGATTTCCATAGTGTATCATTTTCTATCCTTTCTCTTTCAATTTGCCTTTGTATTTAAAGTGTGTCTCCTGTTGACAACATATAGCTGGGTCTTGGGTTTGCGCCCAGTCTGACAATCTCTGCATTTAACTGGGATGTTCAGTCTATTTACACTTTGTTATTGATGTGGTTGTATTTTATGTCTTTCCCCTTCATTTGAAAGTGGCCTCTAGTTTTTTTATGCTATTTTAATTTTTATCAGGTTTGATATCAATGTTATATTCATCTTAAAAACTCAGGTTTTTTTTTTTCCCTAAAACATTAGTTTCACGAAGCAAACATAACACTGATAATCAAAACTGACAAGAGAGGCACTAAAAAAGATTATTATCTCTTGGGCCTGAAACTTTTTTGTATGATAGTTTGTAACTTTCCCAATCTTTAAAAAAGAAATTGGTTTTAGTTTTCTTTCTCTGCTGCAGTCAGTTGTATTCAGTATTTTCCCTAGGACATTACCCATTTCATCGACATTTTCAAACTTATCTGAGCCAAATAAAATAGGCTCTTATGACTTTTAAGCACTTGCTTCTGTTTTATATCTGCATTCTCTCCTTCCTTTACCACCACCTTTTGAGTAGGTTAGCTTTTCAGCTTCTCAGCTGCCTTTTCCAGAGTTCACAGATGCCATGAGGGGCCTCACTTTGAGAGGTTTCTTCCTTCTTCTGAAGCTTGACCTCTTGATTCTTCACTTGGTAATTCCTCAGTGCCTTTGCATAGATCTTGTATATTTTGTCCAGATTTCCTAGTCCTCAGCAAGAGGGCTGGTTTGAATTACATACTCTACCATCGTACTGGAAACAGTAGTCCTCCTGCATGTCCTTTTACTCTTCAAAGAAAAAAAAAATTCACAGAAATGGTGTGTAAGAAACATTCACTCTCCTCAGTGGACAATTCAATGTGTATCTCAACAGTGCTGGACCTGACCTATAGGAACCCTTTTATAAAATGTTTTGTATAGTGGAGTTGTCTAGAACTGTTTTGAGGCAGATTGGTTTTTTTTTTTTTTTTTTGTGAGGGGAATGGTAATTTGATTGATTTTTAAAGGAGATACTGGGGATTGAACCCAGGACCTCAGGCATGCTAAGCACTGCACTCTATCACTGCACTATACCCGCCCCCTTGAGGTAAATTTCTGTTTCTCCTTTCCACCACCCCTGTCTATGAAGGTGAGGTTAAAAATGGTAGCTATGTAAAGAACGCTGGTTAGGGTCACTAACAAGTCAGATCTGTAACACAGGAAGGAGGTTTGAGCTGGAGACATGTGTCTGTAAACCATCAATTACGGAGCAGCCAGTGGAGGAGGTCACTAGATTCAGTTTACTGACAGTGGAAATCAGGTTTCAGAGGTCCAAGAGGCAGAAGATTTGTGGAAAGACAGAAGGCCTGCACAGCAGCTTGGCTTGCTCGGTGGATAAGTCTTTGCCTTGGACAGGTAATTCTGGCTACGAGACATCAGTCACAGGACCTAGTGCTTTCACCACTGACCACTACCTGCGTGCGCACACACACGTCAAGGAGAGGCCTGTAATGAAACCCAAGCACAGGCACCAAGGAGTCTGCAGGAGAGGGAAAGAGGTGAATCTGGCCTTCAGGAAGCACAGGGCCTGGGAACCGGTTCTGGACCCCACGATGTCTCAGCACAAGAGTTAAACCACAAGTAGACGGAAGTAATTTGTCGGTATAAAGTTTTACCACTCTTGAAATGCTACAGACCTCTCTTCCAAAGTAAAGAAAGTACCTTTTTCTCTTGTTTTCCCACAGTTCCTAGCAGTGTTCAGTGAAGGTCAAAATAGGAAATTAATCACTACTCTCTTGGAGGAAACTTGTTTGCATCTGTACGGTACTGGAAAAGATTAAGTACTCACAGCTATGTACAAAGTTTAAATGCTGTAATCCCGGCTTCATCCCCTAGTGTTTTGTAATCAGCTTTTTCAAACCTCTTCCCTTCTACTGTAAGCTAATAAATTATAGTTCTAGAAACTCTGCAAAATTTATCTTGGCTTTCTCCTATGATGTCCTCATGTTGGACTGTATATTTATACATGGCTTTAAAAATTTGGTTAAATGGTACACACTTAATCCTGGCTTAAGTAAGTGGATTCCTGAAGTATAACAAATCTGTCAACATCTATCACAATGCGTCTGCCTGGCAAGAGGGTGACAAATCATCAGTGCCATCGCATTGTATACTTAATAATTACAGTAAAAATGTTTTGGTAGATTTTATTCACATAAAATGTTTTAATCATAAGCAAAGTCATAACCAGGAACTCCAAACAATACAGTGAAAATATATTTTACTTTAACTTAAGGCACTAAATACAGATTTCTTTAGAACACACTCATGTCATTTTATTTACACACTATTTTAAGAATTCATAATAAATACACACTTTCCATCTCACTTTGTCCTTCCTTTGTAGCTTTATATATATATTCACAATGAAGTAAAGCCTTCCAAATAAATGGAATTAAATGCAATCATCCTTAAAGTTTGCCAGATACGGGTGAGAGAAGGAAACACCTAAGAACAATGCAAAGGCATCTTTAATCCATCAATTTTCCAAGAATTTATCTTTAAGCTCATGCCAAGCTTAATGGAACAGGAACACAAAACCTATAGTACAGAGCAGTGAAATGATTCTTATTCTATTGCTGTTTACCAGAAACACTTACACATTAACAGCAGCAGCAGACTGTCCCTATGTTATCAGTACATGTACTTATTCTAAATTCATTCACTGAACTCACAAAAAACTTAGTGAAACGTTTTCCTATTACCTTTGCACATTGTTGTCACAAACAGTAAATGTTTCCTGGAGCCAAATACTTCCTACTACCCAGAAAACACAGCAGCATATCAGTCAAATATTTAACAAAATACACACCAAACCATCAGTGAAAAGGGCTGGCTTTACTAAAAGATTTTTCTCAGTGTACTAGACGAGTCATCGGCTCTGAGTGATAAGTTTTTAAAGATACAAATGAATTAATGTAAAGTTCAATATAATAATATGTCTCTTTGATTAAATACTGTTCTTGTCCACCTCTATCTATATATATATATAAAACATTTATAATTCAAGTTAATATTTTGAGAATGGAATGAAGGAAAAAGACAAATAGGTAAATGTATTTTGTTCAAAGGGCTGAGACACTGCCAGGGCATCCCCTTCCTAGTCCGTCCTGTATGAAATCCACTCACAGGCTGGATGCTACGTACAGATTTCTGAAACTCACAACCACCAGTCAAGCCAATAGAACCATTAAAGCTCACACTACTGCAAGCGCCAAACTCTGCTCTATTATTAGTATAATTGCCTGCTACTAATTTAGGCATTTCCAAAAATGCTCATGGCTCTAAATGTGACTGTTCTCTCCCTCTCTCTCTCTCTCTCTCTCTCTTTAATGGAAATCGAAGTAGAAAGAAATTTTTCTGTCATTCTGTTCAGATCAACTATTAACCTTTAAGATAACTTTTATGCAAGGAAAACACCTCTGAAATGAAATTTGTCAAAAGGCAAACTAGTCCTGTTGGTTTTATTTATTTATTATATGCTGTTCTTAATACAGTCACCTTCTGACTGTGTGCACAGACTGTTCACACAGGGTGTGCAAATGCTGCTCGAGAACCCAAGAACAACAGGCACGGAATGCCAGGATCAGGGTGTCAGCAGTGACCACAGGACGGTGGATCTACCCGGTGCCTGGCACCACTGTTCTTTACCATCGCAGATCATCAGCACTTAGCTGGGTGGCATATTTACTGCAGGTTATTTCTGCAGCTGCAAAACTGTTACCTTGTTTATTTCACATTGTCAAACCTTTGAAGATCACACGAGTAATGTCAATTCCTTGCCTCGGGTCCTGATGAACAGTTCTCAAACCCAGTTTTTCCTCTAATAGATACAAGCTAGTCTGCCCCAACTCAGGTTCTTCATATTAATTCTGATTATTAGAAGGTACCACTTAGCAAAGGTAAGATGACAGTTAATCCACAACAAACCCTGGGCTCCGAACAAGTATGTTAAGAAAAAAATAATAGGAGCAGAGTGGTTATTTCTATGAACCAAACATTGGAGGAAGAAGCAGAAGCAGCACTCACGCTCCCGAAGGTTAACAGAGCGCTGGGAGATCATTCAGTCACTTAACATACAATTACTGTAAAAGATCAAAGACCCTAAGGGCCATTTTAAATTCAGCTCTATTGCTTAAAAAGTAAGGCATAAAATTCCCAAAGGTAAGTATAAAAATCTCTCTTTCTCAGTGTGACCCAATCAAAACCAGACTGGTATTCAGGTCATAACTTTTCTGCGGGACTTGGATATCTCTGGTTGCAAAAAACAACATGAGAAAGTTAAAAATGGTAACAAAAATTAATGAACTTTTAAAAATTGTGATTTTAAGTAACTTGTGAGTTATAAGAAAGTAAATAAATGTCAAATACAAACATAACCTTTCCTGAGAGCTGTGTTCTAAGGGGATGTGGAAGCCTGCCTCTAGTCTAGTGTCCTCTCGCCACCTCCTGTAAGTCCCACGGTCTGTACATCCACACACGCACACACACACACACACACACACACACAACTACGTAACTCACACAAAGGCATTAAGCACAGAGAGAGGAAAGCACTTTTCCCTATTTTCTGAATTTCCTATTAGCAATAACCTTCAAAAGATATCTTTTGAGGCTTCACTACCTTAAGGGTCTTAACAAAGACACAAGGGGGGAAGACTCAGGCTTTGTATCACACAGTCTTTTTTTTCTGTAACAGCTTTTCTTAAAATCATTTCTTCATTAGATGTGCTCTGCCTGGTTGATCCATTTTATTAACCATCACAGAGAATTTTCTACCTCAACGGTTTACTTGGGATACACACTCTTATTAAAGGTAAATATAAAAATATAGGAACCTTTTCCTCCCTGATACACAAAATCCACAAATTTTATAAAGATTTTTGTTGTTTAATTTACAAATATAAAAACTTATTCGAAAAGCAGACCCATGAAATTTTGGTATAGTTTCACCTGAAGATGTGTCAAATCTTCATTGCAAAGAGAAAAAAAAAAAAGGCAAAGGCAGTATTTTTCTTAAAAAAAAGTTTCCAGTTAGAGAAACGGTGTTAACGAATGATTTTCTAGCAGTTTTTCCTATGGTCAGGGTCTTCTGTACTAGCCAATGCTGCAAAGCAAAACACAAGGAAAAACAGAACACAATCATTTTGGCATGCTTGGTCCCAGCGCTGTCTTTCAAAGTAGACTTTTTCATAGTGAGAACACCACTCCTGGGGTATGTCCTAATCAAAGCCACTTTATACAAACCCCCACACACTCGTTACCCAATTAAAGGATCGTCGTCGTCATCTTGCAGCTGAAGTCGGGAGAATGGCCGGGGCCCCGAGAGTCTGTTCTGCATGACTATGATGAGGCAGGTGAGAGTGGTTAAGACCAAGAGCGCACCAATAACAATTCCGATGGCTTCTGGGAGATTGATGCACCACTGGTCGACCAGCAAGCACTTGGTATGACTGAAGGTTCCATTATTGGGACGTGGCTTTAATCCCAGGATGTGGCACATCATTGGGTAAATGTCCACAATGTTAATGGTGCTATGTTTGTAGCCTTTGTGAAATGCAGGCCCATGGGCAGCTAGGAACGGATTCATACTCGGCAAAGAATTATCATAACCATGGTCACCTACTGAAAAAGAACAACAGGACGTTAATAAACAAGATCGTTTCTATCACAAAATAACTCACTTTTAGTGTCAAGACACTAGGTTCTTACCAGTGCATTCTCACCCATTAGAATTCTGATGAATTGGGTAAAATTTCCTGTTTCCTTAGACTCGGCCACATCCCGTATTTCACATACACCCCCTTTATCCCAATCACTCATGGCCTCAGGCTTTAAAACTATGTCTCAACCTGATGTACTCATCTCTCAGTCCGAGCCCCACTTATATCACCTGTCCGGGTCCAGCACTGTTTGCAAAAGCACACTGCAGACAGCACCGGAGACAGAGTGGGTAGGAAGAGGAGTCAGTGAGACCAGTGCGTGGGGAGGTGGGGGATCTGCAGCCTCCCCTATCAGCTGCTCCGGGACAAGAAACAGGACTGTATCACCTACCCCTGGCTTCATGACAGCTAACCAACACCTCAACGTCTGCAGGGCCAGGTGACTGACAATGTTACCAAAGGATCTTCTTGCATTGCAGGTGAAGGCTAAGCTAAGCTGACTTCCAACTTGTCAGTCCAGTAAAAGTCTAACTCAGAAAAATCTGATGGTCTCCAGTATCACTCCAATACCAGTCTCAATAGTGCCTTTTAATATACGCCAATTACATTTAATAAGCTCCCTCTCCCATATGAAGTGCAGGTGGCTGAGTGATGAGTGTAACGTGTCTGTTACCTCATTTTGTAACAGCACGTGTAAAACATTTCATAACAAAAATTACGTACAATGCAATACAATGCAAAGCAGAATGTAACGCTATAGATACTATGATTTCAATACTATAAATGAATGATTATAATATGAATAATATAAACAATATGACCACAATAAAAACATGCATGTGTATGTAACAGAGAAAAAGATTAGAAGGGGGAAAACTCCCGCAATGAACACTTGTCTACACTTCTGTATGGAGGGATTATGGACAGTTTTTGTTCCCTTTTCTAAATGTTTTCTTTATTTTCTAAGTTTTCAATAATGAGTACATAAACATAAGTAATACATAAAGTCCAAAGGCCTTCAGTCTTATCCTCGCCTGGTGCGTCTGAGCTGCTCTGGATCAGGGACCTGCAGACAGCAGCCCCCCGGCCACGTGCAGCCCCCGCCTGTTCCCGCAGAGGAAGTGTCAGCAGAACACCCTGTGTCAGTCTGTTCACATACTGGCCATGGCTGCTTCCCCACCACACAGGCAGAACTGAGGGGCTGAGACAGAGACCGGCTGGCCCACAAAGCCTAAGATATTTACCATCTGCCCTTTCACAGAAAAATTTTCTAACTCCTGCTGTAGTCTAAAAAATCAGATTTTAAAAAAATGTATTCAAAATGTATTTACATATGGGTAAATAAGCTTCAGTTCAGGGAAGATCTGGAATTCTCCCCTATACATTTCCTCAGTTTTAGGAGAGATTTGGATCCATCTATTTAATCTACTTGGTAGATTTTTGCTTGCACACTTTCTGGTTCTTGCCTGGTGTTCTAAATGGCTGTAGCACTCAGGTACAGGATTTCATCACTGGGAAAAGACCTAGGATTACCTAGACAAATACATATTTTTAAACAAAAATAAAGAAAGAGGAATTTGAACTAGCTAATCTCTACCCTTTTACTTTCTTTACTTTTTAATCTTCTCTGTTCCTTTACTGTTCCTTTATTTTTACAGGTCAGGAGAACCAACCTTCAAAGTTACAACAGCAGTAGTGCAGTTTGGGAAATAAAGTAAAATGACTCCTTGACCCGTAAGATCACCCAATCTTCTAATCTGAGGGTGAAATAGCAGTTTCTATAAACTGCTTCCAAATGAAAACCTGCTAATAATCTAGTTGAAAATTAAACTAATTATACTGTGTCAACATCTCTAAATCAAAGTACCCTGTTAATGGGACAATGTCATAACATGTGATTTATCCCTGGGATCCAAAAGGAAGATCCTAAATCAATGCTTACATTTTGGTGGCGATGATTTGTTTAGCGCAATTGTCCAGCCTTCATCAGCAACCAGAATAATGGGCTGAATTCGATCATTATGTTGGTAATGAAATCTGGCAGGAATGTCTTCTTTGAGATAAACATTCATGTGCAGGTTACAGATTTTCAGTTTGTTATAAGCCTCTGTTATGTCTGGAAGGAAAGGAAGGAGCAAGGAAAAAAAGTCACAGGTTGACTGATAAGGAAAAAATATTTCTAACTAGAATAACTGGAAGTAAATCCTGAACAATGTTATCCATTACATCACTTTTAATCATTCAAAAAACAGAGCAATAATAATTATGTAACAGTGTTGGAGACAGACAGACACACACACCTTTTCAAGTGTTCACTTCTCTGTCTCTCTCATGTTGTGATTATCCCTGGTGGACTTTTACACAAAGAGGACAAATTTCACACCTGGCTTCCTAAGTAAATATAAACTCCTTACATATTATTACTCATTACTAATTCTAAGATCAGTAAATGAAAGGTAGATCTCACACAAAAGTCCAAGATGTTTTTTAAGGATCAAAATTTACTTTTTCCATTAGTGTGAATAATTAAGAAATACATCAGAAAGCAAAGAAATAATCACCTTGAACCTAAACCTTAAGCTAACTGATTGCTTAAAAACTTATGCATTAGGGGAAAAATACAATCCCACTCTAAGAGTAGGTGGTCGTGAACTACAAAAAGCCCAAGCTTCATTCTTTTACAAAACCCTCCCTTAATCAACTGCCCCATTCAAATACTCCTTGCTGAAAGTTTACTTACTGATTTTGGGAAGTATTGCAGCAACTGGGGTCAAATCTATAAGAGTGTAGTCTGAACGGTTGATGCACGCATCCAAGTTTATCAGCCTCCCCGAAGAACACTGCGTCATCCCATGATCACTTGTAATGATCACGTTAAGATTTTCCCACAGTCCTAACGCCTTGAGCTTGTGAACTAGCTCACCGATATGGTCATCTATTTCCTTCAACACTCTGCGCATGTTGTCTTTATCTTCAGGGCCGTACCTGTGGCCGCTTGCATCTGGTTCTTCCCAATAGAGTGTCGCAAAGGTGACTGGTGGGTTGGAACTGCTCAGCCACGTGGTGATGTTACTGAGCCTCTCCCCGAATGACACCGAGGAGCTGTAGTTCATGAAATAGGAAGGCGTGGCATTGTGAATGGGGACGTCGGTCCCAGGCCACATAGCAGCAGCGCTGGACCTGTTTTCCTGAAGCTGGTTGGTCACCCAAATAGGCACTGCCTCATTCCACCAGAAAGGATCCTTGTCATTGAAGTCGGAGAAGTGTTTCTTGGTGACGACATCATACATGGAGTTGGCCACAATGCCATGGCTTTCTTCATACAGGCCTGTCACAATACTGTAGTGGTTTGGAAATGTTTTTGTGATAAAAACATTTTTAACCTGCTCTACTAAGATGCCTTCTTTGATAAAATTCTGGAGATGAGGAAA